AGTACCTGATTGTCAGAATCTTAGTCTGAACTTCATGGCACTGTGGATGGAGGCGTCTCCTTACCCGGCTACGGTTGCTCTGAGGATAATGCTGCCTGTATGTGTGGCTACGCATGCTCTAAACTTGGACCCACTCAACCATCGAGAGAGCCCAGGCGTTAGTCCTCGGTTCTACTGGAAATGGTGCCCGTCGTCGCCAGAACTTGTACAGTCGGTTCTGAGAGACACCTCTCCAAGTTTCTACTCTTTACCGAGGACAGGGAATTTTTGGGGATTTTAAGATTTAAATTAACCGTTTAGGAGAGGGTTTGAAGTGGAAATCCCTTACAGTCCGTGGGTGTGTTTGGCCGGCGAATGATGGTGATTAACATTTGAGTATTCTGATTGTGAATTCCACTTCCCCCCGGTTGCAGCTGGAAGTGATTTCGGTAGACCTCGGTGAGCCATGAATTGCTGGCCTAGTACATATGAGAACTCGATCCCAAGGATGTTTCTGTTTAGGTGTCTAGTACGGTATAAAAGGTAAAGCTGTCCCTGTAAGAGCCCGCGGAGGCCAGTAGGGTTGTTAAAGGTCAAAGTTCACACATCTTCTAGACAATAGGTTGACAGATGGCGGTAAGGTTGTCAGCCTTACACACCCGCCGCCCTTTACCCTCCCCCCCCCAAAGATTCCCGGTACCCATTTCTGTTAGAGGCTGAGTCGACCCCAGGGCCATAGTGTGGCTGGAAGAATTAGGTAAATTAAGAAATTCAGTGGCATCGGGAATCAAACCCGCGACCTTCGGGTTTGTAGCATAGTGCCGTTGAGGTGTCTAGTACTGTTCTAAGCTCTTTTGTTCTGTTTGGTACTTGTGTACTAAAGCCAAACATTGACAGAAGCCTCGGGCTGTACACATACTCGTACTTATGCAAGTAGCACCGAACTGGACAAAAGATGTATTCATGTCTGAAGTGAGGTAATCGGTTTCTCCCACACGTTAGCTCGTGGTTATGTCTGCTGTCCAGGTCGTGTCAACGGGCTACCTTTAACGAGGCGATCCTCTTATTATTATTTTGACACCACCGATACACCTTTTGCCTTTGCTACTTCCACTCCTATGTTCTTCACTGTAATTGTTGGCCCAGCCTCTTTCATATACTTACATACATTACTAACAATTTCTCTTGATTGTGAATGCAACACTTTTCCACTCAATTTACTTCGTGTAGGTGGCATGTTAAAGGAGATGGAAATATGTACAAATATAAATAAAAAAGAAAATCAACGAATAAAAATAAACAATAAAATAAAATATTAATACAGTAAATAGAGAATAATACACTCAAATACGACTCCAAGAGTCAGAACTTTTTAACTTGACTGTACAAGGACGATTGCTCTTGAGACGTCTCTTCGCACTGAATGCAGACCAATGACTAATCACAACACTCCTCAACTTTCACGAATGGACCTGCCCATCCACTGCGCAGCTTTTCCTGGACTGTCACTTCTAAATACTAGAACTAGAACTACTAGAACGTTAGTAAGCAAGAACAGGGGCCATGACTGTGTCTAGTGACGTGGTTATGTACGCCTGCCCATGGCTGTAAATTTGTATGCAAGGTGCGGTGTTTTTCAGTATAAAATCTAATGAAATGTGGTTCATGATATCCGAAAAGAAACAATATTGGAATAAAATCTGCATAATGAATATTCCACGAAATATAAAATCTCCACGAAGGATGTCTGACTGAGGAGAGAATATTGTTTATGACGTAATGAAATTCTCCAATAGAAGAAAGAGGAACAAAGGACTTACTATTCCTTCGGAAAGACAATGTTAGAAGGAAACAAGTGAAAAACCTGTGGTAGGTGCGTGTGTGTGTATAGTGGGGGACCACGTCTTCACGACCTGATGCTTAACTAATTGAGCACAAGGACTACTTCGCCTTTATTTTCATTGGCTCTTCCAGCCCATTCAGGGCCATGGACTCTTATTCAGTTCAGTAATGATTTTTCACAGACGGTAGGGCTCTTTGGACGGGTGATCAGCTCGTCGCAAGGACAACACAAACAGAATAAACGCATACACACACCAAACATCCATGCTTTGTGTGGGATTCGAACCCACGATCCCAGCGTCCGAGCGAGAGAAGACACTTCATGCCTTAGACCACGAGGCTACACTATCGGCCTGTTTCACCATTACGTTCTGAATTTCAGGAAAAAAAATTGAGGGACATATTTTAACGGCGTGAAAGAACTAGGTATGGCAGAAAGAGGCTTTCATTCAGTTGTTTAGAAAATGTGTTGTGCCCAGACACGTGTTTTAGAATACTGAGAAGTAAACAAATAAATTCCCACTTCGCACTGGATTGTCATGTTCTTAAGAAATGAAATTAGATTTCAAAGGGTAATATGAACTTTTCGGAGAACTCCGATAGAGATGGGGTCTGAGTTTGAAGTTAGGGAACATGTGATCTCTTTAAAATGAGACACAAGACATCGTAGTTCGCTGTGCGACATACTTGAGCACTACAAGAAATAGCGATGTCTAGCCCAAGAAGCTGTTATCTTATACCGATGAGACTTGGGTTCACAACTTTATACAATACATTTTTTTTTACAATATGGCACAATTGTAGCGATGACAATCCGAACAGCACATATTTAACAGCTGAAAAATTTAACATTTGGTAGTGTAGTTGCAATTCAGTCTACTATTTCACGCAGTACGAGATAAATAACCTTCCACTAAGTTTCGTCTTGCCGGTCACGGTAGCCGAGCGGTCTAAGGTATGCACTGTCTTCTCTCGCTCGGAAGCCGGGATCGTGGGTTCGAATCCCACTCAGGGCATGGATGTTTGTGTGCGTTTTTCTGTGTTTGTCTACAGGTATAGGCCTTGCGACGAGCTGATCACTCGCCCAAGGCGTCCTACCGAATGTGTAAGATCTAGTAAACCGAAGTGAACGGAGAAGTTCATGGAGGTAGGCCTAGGCCCACTGGGGCTGTAGTGCCAAGGGGGGAAAAAAAGTTTCGTCTTACGGTTTATTTTATAATTTGGCTGCCAATAATAAACTTGATATTGACGTGGGACTTACAAAGAACGACAATAACTGTAAGCGTGTCCACACCTTATTACAGTAGGGGGTATATGATGTACTTAAACCGGGACAAATTTGTGACAGGGTGGGTGACTCAGTGGCATGACTATCTCATTTCTTATTAACTGACTCGCTGTCACAAAGTGACCCCAGTTTACGGTAGCTCAGTGGTTCATCTCTGCGTTTCAGTATGCCTAATTGGCCAGCTGCTGTCTTGGTCAGGATAAAGAGGAAGAGGGGCGGAAGTATACGTATCACTCTGCTATTTACGCCACGCATTGGGCTCCAACTGCAACGTTCCTTTTGAGGGGCGAGCGTCTGGGAGAATGGAAGGATTCGTGTTGCCCTCCAGCTAGAGTAATTTTCACTGGGCCGCCGATCGCTTGTCCCTCCCATAGATGCCGAACTCCTATCCGTTTGTCTTTACCCCTAACCCCTCCCATTTCTTATTGCGAGGTGTTTATTGGGCGCCAGTAAGCACAGAGTAGCGTGCTTAAAAGTAGACGTGGCACCTTTTGGGGATCACTGACTGTTTTCAAAATTCGGTAGGCCACATATCTTATCTCAGGGTCTTAACAGGTCTTGCTCCGGCAGATAGAACAGTGCAGCACACGTGCTTGGTCACAGTAACAACAATAGGTAACACTTGATTAGGTTTATTAAAGAACAGTTACGTCGAATTACTGTTATTGTCACACTGATATATAAATCACTGCCGATCCTCTTTAATAATGTTAAACATTTTATTGCAGATTCCAGGTTGAAATTATGGTCGAAATTCGCACAATGATCGCTTGCTATGTAAGATTTGAGGTTTTCACAGCGGTGATTATGAAGAAAGCCGTCATCTGGGATGTGGCGCTGTGTAGATATTGTGTTAACCGACGTTTTGGTGGAACGTATCCGAGAGCCATGAACCAGCGATTTTGATAGCGTTCATGTGTACGATAGTCATAACGGGGGTCCCCAGCACGCCTCCCTTAGATTTATTGTGCTCAAGAACTGTCAAGTGTCGCATCTCCAAAGGAGACACCGCCTGCTCTGAATATGGCAATTTCCATGAAGTGGGTGGATATTGCATCCTGTGCAGTGACAGCAAGAATGAGCATATGGAATATTCACCGAGCGAGAATGCGATAATCTCCCCTTTCTCGTAACAAATATTATCTTATTAATTAGATGATATTAACTTTGATATATTATAATACCGTAATTACTAGGGAGGATCAGTACGCTAGTCACAAATGGATATTAAACGTGATATTCCAACCTTGCCAAAATATTCACTTCTCGACATATCCTCCACCAGCATTGACACACTTGTCCTATCGCTTTACAAGTGCGCCAAACCCGCAGCATGGAAATCTTTTGACTGCTTCTCAGCCACTTCCGCACCTCCGTTTCAACCTCAACTTTTCTCGACGCAGTTGTGAACCTCTTTACACGACAAACACTTCCCACAGTAAACAGAAAATGTTTCTCTATGAATATTCTTTGCATTAAACATCGTGTTTAAATTTAGGAAGCGCATTTCGTAGAGTGTAGTTGTGACGGAAATTCGATAAGTTAAGATAGTTATCTGGGCCGCGTCATAGCTCAAGCGGTTAGTCGCTGGCTTCCCACCGCGGCGGCCCGGGTTCGATCCCGGGTCTGGTCAAGTGGGATTTGTGGTGGATAAAGTGGCGCTGGGGTAGGATTTCTCCAAGTACTTCGGTTTCCTCTGCCAATCTTCATTCCACCAATTGCTTCACAGTCACCCTCACCTATCATCTGGGGCTGGTACAATAGGCCAGAAGTGGCCGCAGTACAAGGGACTTAGTCGCACCCCACTAGCAATAAAAGAAATGCTTAAGTCATACTGTCAGGATCTCATAGTGGAAGGCAAGTGAGTAATACTGCCCTCTAATTGTTACAGCGGATGGGCACAGTGCATGGGGAGGAGCTTCCCTACGTGTTTGGTGCACCCTTGGTTGATGGTTTCAGCCACTTCCCTCGTAACTACACGAAGTCCGAGGTGGGACTTTCCGAAGCCGTCATAGTATACTTCAGCAACTTCGCCAGGACAGGGTAAGTCAGGAGAAAATGTTGATACGTAAACTGACATTCGAACGCATAACATAGGTAAAGTATTCTTTCCTTCTGCATGCTGGTTACAACTTCAGAATAAATTGTGTCGTCACAAGATTCCTGTGGTCCGAGAAATGAGTTCCTAGTGATACAGAATATTAGTAAGATACTTGCCACAATCTGCAGACCTCCGTAAGGTTTTGTAGCATGTATATGTGAATTGTACCTTATATTGAGGTCCACCAAATTGACAGATTTGAAAGCACGAAATATGAACTAAACTTCTACAAAATGAACTTCAAATGTTGCTGTATCAGAGTAATGTAACGCAGCGCTCCGAAAGAGAGAGACACTTGCCAGTTGCTGCTAATACCAATTCTGCCGCTAGGTGGATCAGCCAGCAGCTGTTTCTGGCGTCTGCTGTCGTTGTTTTCTTTAAAATTGCTTATATAGAACAGCTTGAAACGTTCGTATTTTAATTTCTCTGTACTGTAATTTGTGATAACAGCGAAGTGGAACCTCTAACAATTGTATAGGATAGCGAGGTTTTAAGAAACGCCATTATATTTCTTTTGAACAAGTGAAAATCAAGAGTGAATAAATTATTGGTATTTTCTTGGAAATTGCGATTTGTCTTGTAAGTGCATTATTTAATGTTTATCCTTTTGACATTCATGTGTGTACGCATTAAGGGTGGTCTAAAATACAAAGGCTAATATGGATATTCGTAATAGTACATTTTTCACATTGGAATATAAAAGAGCTTATAACACCTTACATTGTTATTAAACGCATTTATGGCGTGGAACCAGTTGATAGAATTTCATGGAATAGTAAGCGACAGTATTCTGTATCACTTTCCAAAACCAAATAAAAATAGACGACTTCATACCTTAGCAAATAACCAAAATCTTCTGGGCAAAGTAACCTGGTGCTGAGGCCGCGCCATAGCTCAAGCGGTTAGTCCCTGGCTTCCCACCACGGCGGCCCGGGTTCGATCCCGGCTCTGGTCAAGTGGGATTTGTGGTGGACAAAGTGGCCCTGGGCGGGTTTTCTCCTAGTACTTCAGTTTCCCCTGCCAATCTCCATTCCACCAATTGCTCCACAATCACCCTCACCTATCATCTGGGGCTGGTACAATAGGCCAGAAGTGGCCGCAGTACAAGGAACTTAGTCCCACCCCACTAGCAATAAAAAAAGGCAACTGCTCGATAAACATATCACGACAACGAATACACGAAGCAAACAATTGTTTGACTCGTTCCCTTTGCGGTCCGTGTCATATCAAGGAGTCTGTGGGTGTATATCCTCCTATCGTTTCAAGAGAAAATCTCAGTAAACATGTTACCACGGCAACCAAGAATTATGGATGCACCGTTTTCTATGCGGTCCGTATTGTAGACGATCAGTTGTTTCCAGAACTTCTTGTCTTGTTTTAAGACCTATATTCTCCGATACATTTGACACCTTTCGTGGATGGCTGTAATATTGCTCTCACATCCGAATAACTCCCATTGTTGCTTTGCATCCTTTCAGTACTAACGCTTGATATACCGTCTGGAGACCGTACATTATTCTCATTTGCATTTAATGCTTTTAGTTAATATTCCCGGTTGAATGAATCCTTAAATATATTGTAGCGTAATTGCGCCATGCAAGAATTGTTGAGCCACAGAACTCTGTAAACACGGCGATGACGCGCCAATAAGGAAAGCGGTGTTTTCCCGTGCCGTTCTACACTTAACCAGTTTTTTGTAAAGCATCTTTGATGGCACGCTGTAAGTCGAGTTTGCAACCGTGAGACGTCCGGTATGGCGACTGCGGTTCGTATTCTGTGTTGAGGATAGAATTATCAGTTTCTTAAGGTAGCGTCTCTGTCCGAGGTTGACGCACTCCTGTACAATTAGACGTTTCAGATACGCAGTGCCACCCACACAGCGTTTGCGTATAAACAGCTGAGTGAAGTTTCAGCTGATTCCCACGTTTTCCACAAAAAGCTCACCGCCCTTGGCCCTGAGATTGCAGATTGGGCCGACATCTCAGTTCTGCAGAAATATGAAGACTAGCTGCGAGGAATCGACACGCTTAGTTGAACTTCTGGTTGCTACTGCGCGGTGTGAGTGCAATAAGGACGTAAAGGCTGTAGGGCCCTTGTTGCAGGCACCTCGTAAATATTATCGGAACAGATGTTCCCGTTCTGCGGCGCGGGCAGGAAGGTTCCAGGGGCCCAGCTGGCTTTTGAAGTTCCCTAACATCAGCAGTGTATTAATGCGTGGCAGGTTGCAGCGATACAGGAGTTGTGGCCTGATATGATTTAGTTCAAGTAGGTATCAGTAAGGAGAAGTGGATGCCTCTACGTCTGGACCGTACGTCCGCCATGCAGTGTAGAAGTACTGAATTCGAACTCGGTTTGTGTGTGACAAAGGATTTTAATGCGTCCGCGGTGCCTTAAATTAAGCAAATGACTATTCATATCCTGTGACTTGATATCTGTTGTGGCCTTCCCCACTTGTACGTCATATCTCCTGAGGGATTCAGTCAAACGTTAACGGTTCTGACTTACTTTCAGTGCCTCATTTCAAATTCCTGATGTCCTTCATGAACTGCAGGAGAAAGTAAAAATACCACCAGCGTTATTCTGCACTCAGTAATTCGACCGCTTGTTTGATATGTTGTCGTTAAAGAAGTTACTACTCGTATTAGTCTAGTTTCTTAATTTGTAATTTGTGCGATGGGCGAAATTTGGACATTTTCATCTCGGTGCACATAAAGGAGTCGCGTAGTGGAATAAGTAGGTGCTAATTTCTGGACTTCCTCCATAGCGAATTTGTTGTTTGAGACAGTTGGCCAAATTTGCCTTCCAGAAAATCAGAGTTTGTTTTTCTCTTGAACGTACGCTTCATTTTACCACAGTAACGAAGACGAATTTAAACTTTTTACAATCTTTTGAAGCGTATGAATTGATCACATGTGTTAAGATGGAGAATGCGCTTTTGGTAAGCAATGTCGTGTTAATAAAAGGCATGCATTTAATTTAAACTTAATTTAAAACTTCGTGCACCCAAAATGTGAATTGAACACAGTATTTATTTCTTTTAAAAATTTCCGTACATTACAACGCGGTGTGAGGTATCATAACTATTTTAACTCCATATCTTACAATGATACATCTTACATTTTATACCAATTGTTAAAGAACAAGACTGACATCAAGTGTAGCAAACGTTCATTAAGTATTGTGTCAGTAAAATCGCCTTACGTGTTTCGGCCCTTCAGAATTTCGTGTAACAATAGGAGATTGCCTTCGTGTATTTTTAAATTGAGATTGCTTATGTGTGTATTTAAATTATATTTATAAGTTTGATAGAGTTGTACTACACACATTTGTTCTTAGTATAGAACCTGTAACTACGAGTAATATATACTGTACTAATGTTCACCACATACGGTCACGCGTAGCGGGGTACACGTGACAACAGGTTCTAGATCGGGCGACTGGATTTATTGGCCCTTCGGTTACAATCTCTCTTAATTACAATCAGTAGAGCGCTATCGCTGATTTACACACTTTCCAGTTCACCGTTGCACACGCACTAGGATTCTCAGTTTCCGCTAGTCGTCTCCTAGCAACGGATCTCAACGCACAGAGTAGCACTTGAAATCACTGAATTCTTCTTGCTATTTCTTGTTATGTCTTCAGAACCTAATTTTATCTCAGTTATGTGCACATGAATATATACATATCAGCTGTTATGTCTTCAGAACCTAATTTTATCGCAGTTACGTGCATATGAATATATACATATCAGCTGTTATGTTTTCAGAACCTAATTTTATCGCAGTTATGTGCACATGAATATATACAAATCAGCTCTTAGGTCTACAGGACCTAGCTTCAGAGGCTTCTGTCGTCTCTGTGGGCTCTATTAAGACGTCATCAGTACCTAGACTGTATGTCGTCGAATTGTAGCGAGAAATGGATGATTTGGAAGGAATCAGTTGTCTAATGAACTAATACCCTAGAATTTGCCTTAAGGATCTGAGGAAAACCACGAATGTCCCGAGAACAGCCAGTGTCCTCGAGGGCCTTCCAAATACAAGGCTACGTAACTTCTGATACGAGACCCCTTTAGGTCGCCTGCGTGTTGATATTATTTTTACCATAAAATAAGGCTTTAATTTGTAATATTTAAACACATAAACTATCGTCACCAGGTTACATTTAAACGGTCATAAAAGCGTAAACGGAATTGTCATATTTCGCTTTCCAGTTTCGACTGGGGTGGTGCCGGTGAAGTTCAGTATTTTAAATTACAAACAGTATTGCCAGCCTGCCCATTCTCCGCCATTTCGGTTTCCGCCATCATTAAAATTTGTAACCTGTCGCGTAATTAGCAATTAAGACAAATTGAATGTTGGGGTGGACAGCGTTTTGTGAGAGGAAAAGTATGCCCGCCAGTAGCTAAAATGTCTAGTTACTGTCCTGTAGAAATAAATTACTGTATATCAGAAAGATTGTACTATTCCAGTAAATGGTTTCTAAATAAGGTTCACATATTTGTACAGGGTTTAAATTCATCGAAGGAAATTTTTTTACAGATAAAATATCATTATTGTTCGTAAAGTTTAAATATTCTGAGTTTCAAAACACTGAAATGAAAATACGTGGATTCGTCTTCAATATCTTCACACTGATTCAAATTTAACAGTAAAATATTTTTAACAAATATACAGAGGGGTCCATTTGAGATGTTAGAAAAGTAAACCGTTGTACACAAGAAGTTAATGTACGTATCTCTGAGCAGCTTGTTTGACTGTGAGCAGGAAGGATGTCCGTGTAGGGTGAATGGAGAGTTTACAGGCGGTTTAGCCGTGTGGCCACATGGCGGAGCTTGCGCATGAGAGACAAACATGGCGGTCACACCGCAACAGCGAACACAGTGCGCCGTTCTGCCATGTTTACGTTTCTTTTTGCGACAGCTCAAACGGATCACCGTGTA